TGAGAACATTTGTCAAGTCTTGTCTTTGCTTATGTCAGGATTCCATTTACAGTGAATAGATTGTAGAGCCCTTCCCAATCCACACACAATGTCAGTGAAGTCCAGAATTTGAAAATTCAACAAGAGACATACAGTGCAGTGTCCTCACACACGGAGGGAGAGTTGGGAGAAAAAATATCGCTTTAGAAAACAAAACGTAAGTTCTAACATATCCAAGAATTTGTGCTGCTGTGTTTTGTGTGTTATGTACGAGTACCTACGCTTTTGTTTGTCATCGCTTTCCACTTTCTTCCATTAGCTGCACAAGAAAAATCGGGACTATGGCGTACCGGAAGAATATTTGTTCTCGACAAACACAGCTTGTTTCCAATATACCGAACTGGTCGCAGTTTTGCTTGTACACGGAGAATGATGTACTAGGTGAATGCACTATCTGTGAGAAGAACGTCTAGCTTGTGCTTTATAATAGAGAGGTTCCGACTTCACATCACAGCCTCGAAACCGGCTATTGTTAAAGAGGGCACGGTCGTTCCTCTCCAGCCCTTCTCAATTTCCTGTTCATAAGCAGCAAGTTATTCGACACTATACAACCTGTGCAGTTCACAGATAATCATACAAGAAACTGATGCCCCTAATTACGCGCTTTAATTCTGTATTTATTATGTACTTACGTGCTGAATTGGAGGGCCGAGAGACCAATTACAAAGCCATCGAGGTTANAGGTGAGTATTAGCTTAACGCCCGGACTGCTTTACTTCCGGGGAAACAGCTACCCGTTACCCATTGAATAGGAGGCTGGGTGGGTTTCAGAGCTGGGATGATAATTATAATAATAATAATAATGAAGTAAGTAAATTAAATTTGTAGTTACGTGTCAAATGAACAGCTCAAGGCCCGATGATGATAATAGGAAATCAAAACCGGCCATAATGGCCGAACAGTATAAGGAGCGTGCTGATTTGACTGCTCAAACGCTGGAATCATGTTTGGGGTAGGGATCTAGTATGCCTTTCTATGTCGTTAAGTCTCGCCATAGCTCGATCTCCTGTTCAGTGAACTTTACATAATGCCTAAGAGGAGCCAATGTTTCGTGAGTTAATTCTAAACTGGAACAGGCCAAACAGCTGATTCCATGATAGCTTATTATAAAGGTAGCTGCAAAATACTATCTGCGGTTAATTAAGCCTTACGCCATGAAGACAAACGGGAGACAGGAGCAATGGTTCCACGCATTTTTAACCCTAGTAGCAGATGGAGGAGAGTCGTCAGGTTTACGTTCCCGCTGCTTTATCCTCGTACAAGTTATTCCTGATACCCATTATACCAGTATATGAGGATGAGTGGGCCTCGAAGACTGTCTGGATATAATAATAATATTATTAATATCATTATTATTATTATAATTCTGTAAATTTCAATTCAATTCCTCTATTTAAGTGTTTGCCAGCAACGAGTGGCCTATAACATAACAAAAGCTAGACTAAGACTACAGCTACGGTTATAATAATTCTATTCATATTTACGTGGCGAGTCAACAGCCACCAGGCCAATTACAGACACAGCACAGTGTAGTTACAGGTAATTACATTAAGGACAAACACAACATAAAGTCAAGGACAAATTAATAATAATAATAAATTATTTATTTGTATGCTAACTCAACAACCAAAATGCCAATTATAAAGTAAGCACGAATAAAAGAAAGAAAGAAAGAAAAGTAGACAACAGTAATAAAAATAATAGCACTATACTTCAAATTCAGTCACTAAACTGCAAATATATCTGATCCTCAGTAGAAAAGTCACGCATGAGCCTCATATACTTTTTACTGTAACTGGCCGTCCAATGAAACTAGTCTTGAGTAACGCGGTGACGTAGTTTGTTGTGGGACTATGCTATAAGCAGGAAGGTCGCGGGTTACATTCCCGATGAGGTAATTAAATTTTTTAATTGACCTAATCCTTCCAGCCGCACTATGGCCCTGGGGTCGGCTCAGCCTCTAATAGAAATGAGTACCAGAAATCTTCCTGGAGGTTAAAGGGCAGCCTGCGCGTAACTTCACCGCCATCTGTGAGCCGGTTGCCTGAAAAATGCGGGAGCCTCGATGTCCCACAACCTTATGGGTCTTCAAGGCCTGTTACAGGGATAGCTTTACCTTTATCTTTAATTACGTGTGTTGAAACAATTTTAAAGAATGGTTGTTTATTATGCAGACTAGAGCAGGAAATGTGTAATATGCTTCATAGAGCATTTCGGATATATGAGTATGAAGCGATGAAATTAACAGCATCCTGTGTTGTTTTAGGATTTTAAAATCTTACGAAATTTTGATGCTGAAATATAAGGCAACTAATTAAAAAATAGTTTCTTTAGGCACTTCGAATGCCTTGTTATATTTATATCACTATATAAGCATACACTTCTGAACCATCTTCCACCATACGTTAAAGAATTTGGCGTTATATGCATATTACAAATTTGAAAATAACATGAAATCTTCCCGTTCGATGACTGGCATACTTAATGGTTGTTGGACGTGCTCTCAACTGGGTGAAAGGAAAATTAATTTAATTTCTGTGGAATTTTAGGGATACTTCCAAGGAAGTGATATTTCGGCATTTGTACTGAAATATTTGCATTAATTTTGTAGGGAAAGTTTTTAGTGCGTAAAAAATAATATGCTAATGTAATACGAGTACAATGTTTTTGAATGAATGTTATGAATCTATAATTTTTATTGCAAAAAAATAAAATAAAACGTGAAATGTTAACACATGCAAGAACATATAGAAAATTACAGTTAAGTTCAAATAGAGTTTCTTTACCATGCATGCTGAATCTGCTCGTTAGTGACGTGTACTGAACCCACTAACGTTACTGCTTTGTGTAATATCACTATGGAGTACGGATAACATTTACAGTGTTCACAATAAGAGGAAAACTAGTAACGCCGTAGGTAGGCCGGTTACTTACTCGATCTAACCTCTCGCACCTTCCGCTAGCTCTAGTCAGTCAGTCCGGAAGAGTAAGGTGAAGTTGTTCTCATGTGTTCAGTTCAAGAGTTTATCTTTCTCTTTATAACCAATAATTCACACTGCTGACCGAAGAATATTAATTGTTGAAACATACTGTCAAGTATTTTGATGGTCGTGACTAATAATAACTGGTTTGGTTTGGATGATTGGATTTATTAACACCTTTTACAATCACTCGTAATCACAGTCAATTACAATAACTCACAGCAAATGCCTGTCTGAGACTCGCTCCATTCTGGTCTCTCTCTCTTCTCATTTGAACTACGACTGACTTCATTCTGATCTGAACGGCCTTTTATATAGCGTGTCGGTATCCAAGGAAATGTTTGTTGATCATTCGTATCCATGGAAACGTGTTCCGTAACGAGTTGGTTTCCAAGAATCTATCTCTACGGAAACGTGTTTTTCACTTGTTCCCTAGCTAATGGGTTTACACGTCACGATACATACGAAAGAAAACTTACATGAAGTATAGGGAAAAGTTCATACGCACATAACCTGATTCACCCGTAGTTACAAACAAGTTATCGCAAGAAAGGAGTGCTCATATGAGAAACCTGACATTGTGACTCGGTTACAGATCAGTCCTCTGAAGTCTTTAAGATGATTATTACAAGAGGCAGTGTGCCTGTAGGCTATACTACTAAGGCAGCTAAATTAATAAAGTTTCGTCCATATAGAGATGGAGTTGTGCATGAACTTAAGACTACTGATGCTCCACAAAGGATTCGGTTTTGTAACTAGATGCTAATAAATATGAGTGATGGACTCGTAGACCCTCAGCTGTTATCCATAACCGACGAAGCACGCTTTCACGTAAACGGTTATGTAAATTCTCGGAACGTATGCACCAGATCTCCTACAAGACATAAAGTTTGGGGCGTCGTGTGCTCTAAGTGCCAGGCGATTTGTCTGTCCAAAATTTTACCCCAAAACCGTGAACTCGGTCCGACAATTTAGGTATACGTGTAAATTAGGATAAATTTTCCAAGAACTGACTGATGACGAAAAGACAGTATGGCTACTCAGCAACGCAACTGTGTATACAGCACTACAAGATGTGTTCGATGGCAGTATCATTAGTACAGGACTGTGGCCTCCAAGATCGCCGGATCTCAACGTTTGTGACTTTTTTTCTCGAGAAACCTAAGAGGAAGAGGGTACAGGAGTACACCTCGCACTGCCGAAGCTCTCCAAAACAAAATAAGGAATGTGGTCTCTTCGATTTCAACTGAAGAATTTCAGCGTGTATCGTTGGGATTCTTTCGAAGTTGTAAGGCGTGTTTGAGGACCGCCGGTAAACACTTTGAGCATTTTCTTTAACAGCTGGAGATTTTACTTCATATTTTAATTTTCGGTTTCCTATGCTACTTGAACAAAGGACTTCAAGCCACAGAACGAGGGCAGGTATTTCAGCAATGGTTCTGAGCTCAACTTCATGCGTACCTCTTCCGGAAGGTGTTGACTAGGGCTAGCGGAGAGTACGAGGGGCAAAGCCGAGTATGTAGCCGCTCTACCTGCGGCGGTACGAGGTTTCTTCTTCTTGTGAACGCTCAGTGTTTGTATCTTACGACAGACCAGAATGGTTAGGTACATCAAAAACAACAATCGAATTGATATTTACAATAGGCTATGGAGGATATGAAATGTGTTGAACTAATCCCTTTGTACTCTTACAGCTTATGATGGCCTAAAATAAGATAAACAGGATTAGATAAGTGCAATCACCTAACACATGACCACTTTGTAAGAGATTATTATTCAAAGACAAGATTTCTTCCGTAAGTCGATATTTTGTGTTATAAGAATGCTCTAATTTATTGTGTTTAATATGTGCAATAAGTTTTCTGTTGAAATTTTACATACGTGTCACTCTAATGCTTGTGTGTCGCTGGCATGCTATGGTGTGTGCATAAAGGGGCATCTAAAGGGGATGGAGAGTCAATGCTACTATCTCTAACTTACGAGAGGCCTTCCCCAATACCAAGACTTCACTTTCTGCGTCCAGCCTCCCAACTGGGAGCGCAAGCCGTCGAGGTAGCCGCACTGAAAAACGCATCCAATTAGCAAAACCATCCATCCAATCAACATCGAACCCCGCTGCCATATAGTCGGGTGCAGATTCCAGTAGGTCCATCATTTTTTTTCTTTCGATTATTTCATGGCAGAAATGAGCAGAATATTAATATTTTCTTTAAATTCGAGACAGGTAGTTCAGTATGAAATGTGAGTAGCGACACAAATATAGGGGTGTCCACCTTTATTATTCAATAAAATAAAACAGTGCTGTGACAGCTAGTGTCTGTGCAACTCATGTCCCGCTATTCTAGGAGAGTCATGGAATGTACCGTGCCAGAATATAAGGACCACGAAGACTTCACGCTTTGATCGTTTTTTTTTTTTTCAAAAAAAAATCCCTCTACCATTAGGCTTGGAGATTAAGGAGGAGACAGAACCATTCCAGCATTTAGGTTATAAATAACAACATTCTACCGGATGCTGGACCATCACCATGTAGTTTGTACCCTACGATATAATTCAATGCTCTGTTACGGCTCATAAACATCGAATTTATGAAAACAAATTGGCGTATCAAAAAATCGAAGGCATAAAACTATGCTAACGTTGAGCCCTGAGAATAAGTTTAAGATGTGATTTCTAAAAGCTTAAAAACAAACGCAAAATTTCATTGGGCCCTCTATCCAAAAGTCATCTGATTGTTTGAAATATGTGAATTTGTATAAATAAGATCTAGCAGTTTGTAACGATGGTACATCAGTACAAATATTGTGTTTCTGGACACTATCAATCGTCTTGTCTTTATCTAAAAGCACCGTCCTGTTTATTTTTCAAACCAGAACCTTTGGGAGACAGAATCCAGTCTCCGAAACGTTGTGTTTTGAAAAATAAAGAAGACGGTGTTCTTAGATAAAGACAAGATGAAGGATAATGCCCGTGAAAATATTTGTACATGCGAATTTATGGTATCAACAGGATTATTATAATAAGATAAATTTACACATAGTACTTGGCCCTATTCAGCAGTCTAATAATGACAACTCTACATGTCCTTCGAGCAACTAGCAAGTTATATCAAATTCCTTCTGCTCCAAACTTTTCTATTTCTCATTTGATCACTTTTATAATAGGCAATATTTCAAGTAAATAGAACTCGACTTACTTGGACACCCCTATTTTAGTTTTTCCATTGAAGCCCTGCCAAAGTGAAGGACTCTTCTTGCCACTAATATCAGAGGGAGAGGAAGTACTGGTCAGACTGTGACTGGAACTGCCATCTATAATATAATTTCTACACTACACAACTTACCTATTACAGACTAAAACTAGATCACTCACAAGCATGGGACTCAACACAAACTACAAATTTCGACAGATATCGATTGTACAGACATTGGGGCCATACCATGTCGGAAATCGATCCATCGTCCATCTGCTCACAGCCACTGTTCTACAGGGATTGCATATATGACAGCGTGTACAGAAAGTGTGTTCCCTTATGAGCTCGCTATTTTCAATTCACGTTTTCGGTAAAAGTGTAAAAACCCATGATTGAATCTGATTTCGTTCTTCAAGGAAAATTTGTTACAGTTTGCCTAATTGTATCTGATTCGCGGAAGCACATTTCTATACACCCTGTCGGAAGAATTTTGATTTCTAATGCATTTCTGCTTATGTCAGCCGGAAACTGGAATAACAGGATTCTTATGACCTGATTAACTGGGAGCATCTATGTAGCACGAGTGTCCACTTGGCTGTGAGGATTTGATTCTCTAGTAACATTTTGTTGGTAACCATGGAGGACTGTCTCCGAGAGACCAAATATTTAAATGTTAATACAGTAATTATCGTGGAATGCAATAATATTATGTAACCAGGCTTTTCTAAGATATATATATATATATATGCTGTTTATATTATGCGGTCCACTGCGCATTTGAACCACGCAGCCCAATTAACCTCATAATATAAACAGCGTGCATTAACCATTGGCTCCCGACAACACGAAAGAAGAGCGATCTATTCTCTAGGAAAATGGTACCATTACGGTACTAACACGGCGAGCCAATGCAGCAAACAGCAGAAGAAATTTGACGAAGTCTACGCGTGGTCTAATTCAGTAACAAGCAAGAGGCTACTCGCAGCTCATAACGTTCTGAAAGATCATTTTGAATTCATTTTTAAATATCAGATTATGGATTTAAGATCACCTAATTGTTAAATTTGGTTTAACCTATTGTTGTGTATATGAGTTATATATACGATTTTTATCCTTATTTTACTGCTAATTTTAACCAGTATCTAGTCTAGATTCGTCTAGTTTATGAACTGAATAGAAATTAACTTGTAAGAACAATTTATAGAAATGGGAATGTTAACGTTGCATTTCGATAATAGTATGTAAGAAACTTGCAGCATCTGAAGATGACCCGTTTGAGGTCGAAATATGAAGTGCGTGCTATATAAATAAATAATGAATTATTGTTCGGTTGACGGTAAAAACTGTGTATGTTCATTGTATATACGCAACATATGCAATTCTTAAAAATATCTTTTAATGTGGCCACCTTCAAAGCATTCGCCTTGTGACAAATATTTTACTGCCTCTGACATGCGTGTGAATGTTACTGGAACAAATTTTCATAACGTCTTTACAGAACTACCATTAATTTGTTCTGAATGTCTTCGAATGATACATAAAACGAAACCCTTTCAATGTTTTCTTTCCTTCCAGAATACTTATTTATTTACACGAGGCCAGAGCAGATGACTACGGTGGATGTTCATCCCATTAGTACGCTTATTTGTTTTATTATATATATATATATCACTTTATTCAAAGTAATTCTTAAGAAGACGTAACGTGGTGATATAGAATTCACTCTTTCAGTCATAGTTTTGATATTCTTCGACGAATTCGCTACTGCAAACGGCCCAAGACTTAAACGTAGAGCACTTCGTAACTGTTTCAGAGGGACGAATTCCTTTGATACCAAAGAGTAGATCAACTTGGTTACATCCTTCATTCTGACGGTTGCTCTTATTTTGAATGCGAGGCCGCACTTTCCAATTTGAAGCTTTGATGCACCGCTTCTGGGTCCTACTGTAATTTCGAGCAAATTAATTTTTTCGGAGCTCTTTGACAAACAAACACAATACACTGTGTGAGTAAAACTCTTCCCTCAACCACATACAATGATTGTAATATAGGCCTAAACAGTAATCATTTTCATGGAGCAGGGTAACCTAACTATAGACTTGTATTTGGGAGGTGGTCGGTTCGAATTTCAGTCGGAACACTAGCCATCCTGACCGAAGTCTCTCTCGGTTTTATTTATTCCCTCCAAGAGAATGCACGTACAATACCTCGATGAGGCCATTACCACTTTTTTAAAAATCCTTTCCAATTCATCATTTATTATTATCCTAGCATTTGATGCTACACAGGATGTAACTGGTAGGTGGGGACAAAAATCGGGCACGGGTTACACTTACCAAAATGAGACAAAATGTCCACATGAACATGTGAACGGAAATATTCATTTTGTGAGTCATAGCCGGAAGAATACTGTATACAGTTCAGCAGAGATGGTTGCGATTGATTGACTGATTGATGATACATGTCCTCCCAGATCTATTTGAATTTGTACCAATGGCAGTTAACAGGAATGTGGTATATGCATGATGGCGCTCCGGCACATTTCAGCCGTGCTGTACGATATGTTCTCAATAACACCTATCATAACGGATGGATAGGTAGAGGAGGCCATGACTGAATTCTTATCTGAACAGCAGCTTATATAGCGTAGCGGTATCCTGGGAAAATGTCTATTGAATGCTCGTATCCATGAACACGCCTGTTGATTCCACAGAAATGAGCTACTTTCCAAGAGTATACACCTTTCACTCTCGTATCCGAGAAAGCGTTTGTTTAATACCCAGCAATGGTTTGTGTCCAAGAATCGTGTTTGTGAACTCGTTTCCTAGAAACGGGCCTACATGTCACAATGTACGTGTATGTGTCAACAGAGATGCTGGAACAGAAGCAATTGCTGCAAATGGATTAAATACAATCATAACAAATCACAGATAGGGTAGCCCTGTCTGGAAGCAATTTAAATTTCAAGGTCTCGCTATCGATATATCGAATGGAAATTCTCCGTGGGCCTACTGTTTTCTTGCACAATGTAACTAAGTAGATCGTAATACTCCGCTTCGTACACAAAATTTTCTTCATGAGTTCTTGCTAATTTTTATACCTCACTGTCCTTCGTGTTCATTTATTGCGGATACAGAAATTTTGTTTGAAACATAATCACTATAAAGATATCAGCTGTCCAGGGCCAACAATTATCTGCTCTTTTCTGTTGTTAAATAGAAACCATATCATGAAATGTTCAGATCTTAACAAGGTTGAGTCAACCAATTTGCGATTCTAGGGCTGATCAAGTTAGATTTGTATGTGATGTGTAGTGAGAATTATATTGGACCGATTCAAATTAAAATCAAATTAGTGCCATATCATTTAGTCGACCCCAATACCAAATTTAGAAGAACATAAATTTCGCACACAAATGTGCTTTTATTTCACGATCTTCGTGAGAAAACACACAGAATCCTTTCATCTTTGTAATGGGGCTAGGATGATTAGTATACAAGTTTTACTCGACATGGGGCCAACATTTACAGATGACAAAGCATACTCACGACAGGAAACTTCTAAGAGCAGATCTATCTCTATCGTATTACTTGAGGGCAAACTGACAAAAGGGCAATAAAATCCTCGATATAGAACTGGCCTTACTAACTCTTATATAGAAAGCACGAAAATATCTGTGATCGAAACCTGTTTTATGTAGGGCAACTGTTGGGAATGGGGGCAGCAGTTAGTAAAGGGCTCGACTACCGTCGCGGATTCACACTCCCTTTCACCCTGCCGTGTGGGTGAGAGCTGTCTGAAAAAAAGCAATTTGAAGGCAAGAGCTACGGATAAAATGAAAGGCATTTGTTCTATATACCAGCGTGTC